ATCATGTATGCGGTAGCTTTCGGAAAGGTGGAAACATATATTTAATACTTGCGCCGGGTATTTAATGTTCGGCTCCGCCCGAACTTAGACTTTCTTACTTGTTAATTTCTGTCTTGGTTTTTATTAATTTCGAAGAAGCATTTGAGAAGTGAAGAACAAAAGCGTGTACAAACGAAAAAATATAACAACAATGCCATTGTTAATATGTTGGAGTAGTTTTGTGCTACTCTGATGTAATGCAGGGATGAGTATATGGTCCTGCTCTAGGACATCGCAATGTTAATTGGACCATATTTCTTACTTGAATTGTGGTTAATTTTGGAGTACTCCTTGGTCCTTAGAGAGTATTCTTTACACGCATGCATGGAGTAGTCGCGATTTTTGCAGGGTAGTGGCTGTGACTGTTAAGCTGATGCCAGATAAAACAATCTTTTACTACTTTTTTACTCGTCAAAATTGCTATGGATTTTATATATTTAGCTTTAAAGATAACAGCAATGCAATGTTTCTGCATGAAAACTCGAATTTGGACGAAACATAAATAAATACTAAACCGGCTGATTGTCAACGCGAGCAAAAAGATGGGAGTTGGCCATCTTTTCGCTTTGTTCTGCAGCTGCAACGATCTATGTGGCATGCTTTGTTCATTTTCATACAATTCATCTTATCTGCTATTGGAGTAGGCGCAATCGCGCCATCTTACAATATATAAAAACATCACTGCGACATTGCGACTGTTCCTTTGTCACAGTATGTCACGGTGACTTTTCGAAAGTTGTCACAACAGTTACCCGTGACTTTTGAGTAACCGTGATAAAGTCACAGGTACGCAAATTTCTGCCACCTCTATTGGACTTAACGTATATTTTTTGGTAAATTTTTTTTGTGGAAGATGTTGCTCATTTTCTATATACAAAAAAATGTTTGAACATACTTTGCATCAACGGTAAGGCCAAGATACTTCAATTTTGCACTTTTTTATACAACAATTTAATGGGCTACAAAACTGCATACTCGAAAAAATTTTGGAAAATTTGATTAAAATATTTAAAATTTTGATCATTGTTTGTTAAAATTCGTCGAANTTTCTGCCACCTCTATTGGACTTAACGTATATTTTTTGGTAAATTTTTTTTGTGGAAGATGTTGCTCATTTTCTATATACAAAAAAATGTTTGAACATACTTTGCATCAACGGTAAGGCCAAGATACTTCAATTTTGCACTTTTTTATACAACAATTTAATGGGCTACAAAACTGCATACTCGAAAAAATTTTGGAAAATTTGATTAAAATATTTAAAATTTTGATCATTGTTTGTTAAAATTCGTCGAATTTTTATAAATCTTTTACAAGTTTGAAATTTTTATTTACATGTTTTTTTTTAGATAGTAGGTTATATTTTCATAAAAAAATAATAAACATTTNCTTTTATAAATCTTTAACAAGTTTGAAATTTTTATTTACATGTTTTTTTTTTAGATAGTAGGTTATATTTTCATAAAAAAATAATAAACATTTTGTAAACAAAGAAAAGTTGCCAAAACTTGCTAAAATATCTTTTCGCTATTTACATTCTCACCATCGTATATATTTATTGTATGTATACATTTTTGCGATAATTTTTCAAGTTTTTTCTCTTTGTTTTGTTTTAAATAAAACTGTATTTAAATATTGTGGAATCGCCATGTTCTTCGCCAGTGTTTTTTTTCTAATTTTTATACCCGAGCGCACTTGTGCACAAGGGTATATTAATTTTGNGAATCCATCAGACAAATTGGATTTTCATTAATACGTGGCTTTTTTCTTAGCAAAAATCGAGTCAAAATTCTATTTTTTGAATTTTTGAAATTTTACACTTCAAATCAGCATCAAAAAATCTATAAGATGAGGTCGGCCCGGTTTTTGATATAAAATACGATCAAATTTTGTTGAATCATGTTATTTTTGAGTTTATTTAGTAAAATTTTGTCGTATGCGACAATTTTCAACAAATTTGCAGCCACTTTGTATGAAATACGACAAAATGTGTTACAAAATTGTGCTTAATTAACGATACTTTATATTCACTATATCGGAAACTTAAGGAGATATCGGCTTAGTATAACTCCAGTATTGGTACTAAATAATCGATCAAATTTTAGTCAATTTAGTCAAATGAAATATGCTGAAACTGATAACACCATTCGAATGATCTTAGTTTATAATGCATAACTGCACCTATAACTAAAAATCGTCAGAATGGCGTTACGGCAATCTCTTATCCACGCGACGAAATGTAATTTCAAATGTCAACTCATGAACACAACAGAAAAGTAGCGAGTTGGTTTACTTTCGAAGGAAACTGCGTTAATGATTCGTAGCGGCCTTGTCTGTAATATATGTATGTACATAAAGCTGGAACTTCATAGGCAAGCGTATGCGTACGTATACGTATGCATGCGTTTGACAGCTGATTTGTATACACATGTTCTTATGGGATAAACTCCATAAGAACGCGAGTAAGCGCAGAGAACGGACAAAAATTCGAATGAATTCGAATTCGAGTTGAATTTTCTCAACTTTCATGCATTTGCTTGCGCAGGCAACCAACTTAAAGTTAATTACACCAGGCTTTCCCAAAGTGGGAGCGTATGCCTGTGGTGCCGCTAGTGGCTAGAGTATACTAGTGGTGCGGGCAAATTCTTTAAACTTTCCATGTACAACGCAAGCGGTTTGATCAAAACACACAACATGTTGTCTCAAATGATCATACAAATATTACGATCATCTAACACGCAACTGTTCAGTTGATCAGAAGTGCAAAACAACGCGTTCAGAAGGTGCAATCGCAACAGTTACTGAGCTGTTGCGCCTTCTGAACGCGCCCAATTTCCATATAAAATTCGAAAAATTTAAATCATTTTTCAATTAAATTTCTTTCGTGAAATTGGCTGTAAAAGTTATTTTCTGTAAAAGTTATTTTCTTAGCATTACCAGCGTTAACTTGGAAAGTTTAGAAAAAAACCATTGTCTAATATTTTACCCAACATTGACTCTGAGGATGCCTACAGCTGGATAACNCAAAGTTTAATCAAAATTTCAAACATTTTACTACAGCTGCAATTTTATAGTGCAATATGTTTATTTGTATACGCATATAAAGTACATTTAACTCATGAAAACAATTTAAAAACAATTTACATATTTAAATTCGCTGTTTACATTTAACTCATATGGCAAGTGTTTCAGTGCACGGCCGTGGTTTAAACTTTAAACTAATATTAGCCAATAAAATGTCAGCCAGCTGTTCAACTTAAACTCAGTTTACTGAAAAACTGGCGCATAGTAGTTTTATTTTAATTTAGTCTCCGTTTGCAGTTCTTATGCCGCTAATTGCTCATCAATTACAAGTTTCGCGTAGTTATCTTACTGCCATACCTAAACAAAAGCGTCAGCGTTGTCTGGCTGTCAAAATATTCTCATGCCCATACAATTTGTATGAAGCAAACCGACACAACGCGGCGTCAACGCTGAGCGGTTGGAAAATCCGATTTTGAAAGGCCGTTAGGTATTGAAGTTGGCTGCAGAAAATGGCGAAGCTGTCATTTTCGTGTTACACGCAAACAAACCTATGCTTACTGTTGGTGTTATTTCTGCATTTGACGCAGCGTTGACGCTTTTGTTTAGGTATGTCACTTCAGCGCTAACGCTAGGCGTTAGAAACCGCTCCGCCCAACGCTTTTGTTTAGGTATTGCAGTTAGTGTTTCGTTAAATATTTCGTTCATATTGCCAAATTTCCTGCAAATACATAAGAATTTACAAAATGAATTTCAATACTAACTGCCTACTTTGCGTACTTTTCTACTACCATTTTCTCACCAAGGGATTTCATTCTTCCCATTTCTCTGTCCTTCGTAAATGTACCCTATTATAAGGGAGTAATTATCTACCCTTTAATTATTGAATCATAAAATTTTAGTATGAAAAAGTGCAAGTTTGAAGTTGCTGAAAATCCCGTTGATTTTTGATAATTTCTTTTGCTGAGGCAGTTCTTTATTTTCCTCCATATAAAGGTATTATCGACCATAGTTTATATATAGGCGCGTTACGCCGCCCATAAAAAATACCAAAAATCAAGTTTTTTTTTTAGCATTTTAAATTTGCACTTTTTAAAATTTAGTGGATTATAGAACAGCAGACCAATGATTATTTTTAAAATAGGTGTTAAAAACTTGGAAATTCTGATTTACCTTTGTTTAATTTTTGCAAATTTTGTACAAAGTTGGAGATGTTTATTTATTTGGGGTATTAGACGGCTTGCTAAATGACAAGCCTGACTTCATTTGTTTCAAACAACTGTTTTTACTTGATATTTTCATATGTCTAATCGATATATTGGTGAAACTCAGGAAAATTAAGTGCGGAATTACAATAAATTTTAACTAAAAAATGTTGTGATACCGGCTGTTAATGTACAGATATTCCTACTGGGTATCTATACATCTCTAAACAAGTACTTACTTACATATGTATGACCTTAACCATATGCAGGCAGATACGCTTCGTATTTTTTCGGTAAACACTGGTATGCACATACACACGATCCAGAAAATAAAGGTCGCGCCATTCGCGGACCGCTAACCCTCTCTTCGTCGATTTGACAGCATCCACCCAATCGCTGACGTCATAAAATACTTTTGTTTACATTCACTGTTGCCAACTTCATGCTTTTCGCACCAAATTTAGTGCGTATTCAAAATGCGAAAATTTTTGACTTTTGTGCTTGGTGCGTTTTTGGTGCTTTTGTTTTTAGTTTGAAGACACCAAATTAGAAAATCTTAAAAAAATTGAAGAAAAATGTATAGCAATCGTAAGTGTGGTAAACAATTTTACAAGAATTTAAACAAAATCATGGCACAGTGACAATCATAAGTGACAAAGAAATATGTGGCAGCACCTTCAATCATGCCAGAAGAAATCGACCGTTGTGCAAAAAACATTGATTTTTGAATCGGCATCCTTACAATAAAATTATGTATTCATACATAGTCCATAAAATACACCAATAAAAATTTCGTGATTTTTCAAAGTCAAAACTTGGCAACACTGCCTTTTGGTCGATGCTTCCTCTTTTTCTTGTCGAGTTCGTCTTGCTCTCTCATTCCAGTATTTATTGACGTCACGGCCAGCTGCTCTCAGCTCGATTGGCGCAATCTTGTATTCTATCATTCTTGGCACATACATATGTACAAATTTTCTCTTTTGTATGCATATCTGCCTGCTCACAAACGGCTTGTATATTTGCCCGTGGCTGTACTCGTAGCAACAACACTGCTCAGTTGCGTTGGTCGAATTCACTGCGTTTCGACTTCGAAAATATCGCAAAGCCCGCAGTATTGTATTGAACCTTGTCGACGATGGAGGATTTTGTAGCCGAAGTACGCAAAAGAGAATTTTTGTGGAATAAAAAGATGATACCATTGGGCATAAAACAAAGAACTACAGACAAACTATGGCAAGAAGTTGCGGACGCGTGTAGTATTTCAAGTGAGTGCGATNTATTCAGTGTGGCCAGAACTTTTTGGGCCGACCGGCTAAATTGTCAAAAAAGAACCGCTTAAAAACGGCTAAAATTTTCAACAAAAATTAACATGTTTTATTTAAATAAAGAGGTAGAAAGACTAGTAAAGTCCCGAACTTATTTTTGGTTAAAAGTTGTACGTAGCTATACACTACATCACAAGTCATGTTTGTATTACTTAAGTATAAAAGAGAGATCAATTACAAATATGATTTTCTTTATACTGAAAAATTGTGCCTTCTTATATAGTAGCCTTTGTGCAACGTTACTTTTCGGCCTGCAATGGCTAATGTTTAGTCGGAAACAATATTTTGAGAAATGAACACGGAAACCCGGAAAAGAGCTGAGAATTCTTTATTAAATGAATACAATTTTTTTGAGACATTAAACAATGTTGTTAATTTTAATTCATATAGAGAAAAAATCTCTCACACATATTTTGCAAATACGGTACTTTTGACTTATAAGCGTCGTCAAAAATTCACAACTTTCGACGCTTATAACCGTAAAACCTTATATTCAAAAACCCGCTTATACCCGTCTACGGCTATAAAAAGAATAGCGCTCTGGGGCCAAACACGCATATGCGTATGAGAATTAAAACAATACAGTGATACACATTTTATAAATTATTTAAACAATTTTTTATACCCGAGGGCACTTGTGCACAAGGGTATATTAATTTCGTTCACATAACGGTTGTTTGTAACAGCCAAAACGAATCGAGATAGACATAGACAAATGTATACATAAAAGCTCAGAATGAATAGAGAAATCGATTAAGCCATGTCTGTCTGTCCGTCCGTCCGTGTACACGATAACTCTAGCAAAAATTGAGACATCTCAACGAAATTTGGTATGTAGGTTTCCATTTATACGAGGTAGGTTGGTATTGAAAATGGGCGAAATCGGACTTTAACCACGCCCACTTCCCATACAACGGTAATTTCCAGAAATACGAAAACTGCGATATTTTATTTAATTATTTATTTTAACCGCTGCACCAATTTCTTCCAAACTTGGCACAATTGTTGGCCTAGATACAGCATAATAACTGGCCGAAAATTTAAAAAATCGGACAATAACCACGCCCACTTCCCATATAACGGTAATTTTCGGAAATACGAAAAGTGCGATATTTTAGTAACTACTAAAGATTATTCACTCAAAATTGATATTTACAACAATTTTTAGATGAAAAATAAGAATATTATAAATTTTTGGAAAATGGGCGTAGCCACGCCCACTTATGGTTACATATGTATACCTTGGTAACCGCTGCACCAATTTCTTCCAAACTTGGCACAGTGGTTGGCCTTGGTACAGCATACTAAATGGCCGAAAATTAAAAAAAATCGGACAATAACCACGCCCACAACCCATATAACGGTAATTTAGAGAAATACAAAATCTTCGATAAATCAGTAAATATTAAAGCTAATTTATTCAAAATTGATGCTTGCAACA